TAATGGATCCGTCTTCGCCTCCGCTGTACATCCATTTGCCATCGCTTTGGAAACCCAAAGAAGTGATATTCTTGGAGACGCCCTCATAGTTGACCACTGGGTTCGGGTTTGAAGACACGATGTCATATAATATTGAAATAGTGAGTAACTCACCTTGCTCATTAACAACAATAATCAATACGACAAAACTTTAAGATTTTTTCCAATTTAAATAATATTAAAATAGTTCCTAAAAATAAATATTCACCAACATCGATCTATCCAAGTCTGAAGTGACAATATTAAGGATTGCAAAAGAAAGTGAACCAGAAATTAATGAATACACTTTTATTAATTAGATTATTATTGGTATAATAAAAAAAAAGTTCTTAAAAACGTTGTGCTATAACTATTTTTTGAAAATTAAAACTACATTGGTTCATAGATTTGGTATTAAAATGTAATAATAATTATAAATAGTTATAATAATATTTAAAATATTCAATAATTTGATATAAGTTTAAATATTTAGATTCTAGAATTCTAAAAATTTAGATCATTGGATACTTGAATATAAACTTTGGTTATAGTTATTAATAGTTATTATATTACCAATATTAATAATAGTCTTATACAAATTAATGTACATTATATAAACTTGTTAGAACTTCTTAAACTTGAATTAGTATCGGAATATATTGTAATGAATATTGAATGAAAACACATCTCTTCTCTTCAACTGAATCTTAAAATATTTATTTATTTATGTAATAATTATTTATTTATTAAGATTTGCCTTTAATTATAATCAATTTGGAATCAAAATTCTTTTGTTTCTTATTAATTAATTAAAATTAAGTCAAATATTTCATTGTATTACAAAAGGATAAAGTTCAATGTTAATGGGTGCTTGGCCCAAAAATTTTATATTAAAAAATTTTATTTTTTTTATTTTGCGAAATTAATTATCAACGTGAGCATAATTAAAATTGATATAACTTATGTTCAGTAATTACGTTATTCACTATAAAAAACGTACGTAACTAATACTAAATTTCTTAATTTTGAAAGAACTTTTATAGATTATGTCGGATTTGAGAAATTCTTTCAGAATTCGATTTTACTCTTCAATACCTTTCTATTGATATATAATATGATATACTTATTCATAAGATACAAGATGTGACATTCAAATTTTTCCCGATAAAAGTGGTCACTGCGGCCAAAACCCGAGGTCGTCTGGTCAAATAAAGTATACCACCGTTCTTCCTAGAGAGTGTACTTTCAATTTATAACAATAATTCCCGATTGCACTTTGGGCCTAATTTGAACATTATCATTTCATTCATTGATTAATTTGTATTTGAAGTGAATATACCGTGAAATAAGACAATTTGAAATGAGGACCCAAAACGTCCTAATTATCTGTTTTAAATTCAGATAAAGCTATGCAAAAGATAACGTGATCGGTTTGGATGGGATTCCTAATATACATTATATTTTTAACAATAATTCATTCATGAATAATGTAGTTTATAAAGGTACATATCGCGAGGTATGGGATTTGACATGTGATTATAGATTAATTCTGCGACATCTTTTCGAAACCCAGTTTAGAAAGGGTTTTATAATTTCAATCATAACCTTTTGGTGACACTTCAGATGAAAAACATAAGATTAGAGAGAGAGTTTTAATGTCTCATACATTGTTTGTATTGTTGCCATCCTAACAGATGCACTCTAATTGCCTACAAGGGCTACAAGTTTACCGAATGGTACATAAATCTAGTACTAAATACATGTTTACAGTACGGGTATTAATACTGTTAAACGTCAATATAAATGACATATCATTGATATGATATCAATCAAATATCAAGTAATTGATGAAAAAGGCAACAACTATTCTAACCAACAAATGATAAGAATTTAATGAAAATCATTACAAAAGTGCATAAAAATATTTTACAAATATTATAAACAATTTAATTACTAGATATTGATTATTGGAATTAAATTAAATAAAATTTAATTTATTTTAAACTGAAATTATTGTAAAACACAATAATTATAATAATTAGCTAAAAAATGACCAAAATGTTATGCATTGATGACATCGAGTCATACGCTTTGCAACACTTGAGTAAAGCGACCGCCGATTACTATAAGAGCGGTGCGAATGACGAGAACACTCTTCGCGAGAATCGGAGGGCTTTCCAGAGACTGAGAATTAGACCGCGATTTCTATGCGATGTGAGTGAACGCGATCTGACGACTACTGTATTGGGACATCACCTCTCACTTCCCATCTGCGCCTCGCCCTCAGCCATGCAAAGGTGCGCTCAATCTTTGGCACATTTTTGCACTAATTAACAATTTTCTCATAAATCCTAAAAGAATGGCTCATCCGATGGGAGAGTTAGCAACGGCTAAGGGTTTGTATCTTTTCTAATCAAGCATTTTTTGAAAGTAATTTTTGGATACGTTTTAAAGAAGTTTGTAATTATAAAAATCACTAAATATTAACAATATTATTAAGATTCTAACCAATAATATTAGACATTGTCTTTGCATTTAATATATGCATATAAAATATGAAATGTTTGTCACAAAGCGTGTGAATCTGTGGGAACAATAATGACTTTGAGTACAATCGCCACGTCGTCTATCGAAGAGGT